ATAATTTGAATTACATATTCGAGTATAGTTGACAAGAATAACGAATCATTTCATTTTGAGAAAATATGAAGTATAAGAGAATAGTGCATCAAATATGTGTCAAGTCAGAGAAAAATGGAAGTAATCGCAGAAAATCTTCACTCAAAACGGAAAACATGTAGAATAAAAATGAATGTGTAAATCAGAGGTAAGATATGAGTAGTTTTTTCTACACATCTGCTATATGCAGAATTGGATTTTTTGTTCAAAAAACGATGTTTATCGATGTAGAAGGTGGTATCAGACGGAAACTTTTCTTCCCTTAATTTAAAAAATTAAATCGTTGTCTGAGAGGAAAAGAAGTTCACAAATGACAAATATTCCAATTAAAACATGTCTGCAGATTTATGCAATGAACCTGCATAGAAATTTTCAAATTATAAAATTCGTGCAGATCTGTTGCAGATTATTACAGAATGTTGACAGATTCTTTATAAATTTTTGCAGATTTATGACACGTCACAGCCTCAACAAAATTGTTTGTTAAATATACATCGAGAAATATTTGTAAATGTAAAATTATTTTCAGAATTTCTCTCAAAGTCTGCAGGTGATTTGTACACCATCTGCTAATATTCTATAACAATTTGCAACAGATCTATGTAAATTTTCCACACATTCTAAAGATTTTTTTTATTTGTAATCTGTCTTCGTCCTACAGTAGATCTAGCTTCTTTTGCAGATCTAATTCAAATTTTATGAAGATTTTTCTTGTTCCTCTGAGATTTATTCTTAGAGTGCGTGGCAAGCGGTGATTGAATAGACTACTGTGTTTTTCAGCACATTTTCACTCTGTAAACTTATAAAAATAATCTCTATTTAAAGTAAACGCAATTAGTTGGATTTCTAAGTTCATACTGAAGTACTCTCTAAAAAAATCTGTAGGTTACAAAACGAATATTTTCTCTCTGGTACAAAACCTAAATTCGTTTCTTCACAGCGTATTCTGTGAAACGATTAAGTAGAACTGTACGATACGAATATCGGTTTCTATTATGAGCAAATGCCAAAACTGATATTCGTTTTGTAAACTATGGATATTTTTAGAGAGTAGTGGACTTAGATATGCGTATTAGACTTAAGTAATGAAATCTAGTATGCTATAGAGGTGAGTATTCTCTATTCTACAGGTCCATGTCATCGAAGTTTAATATTATTTTTGTTTAGCAGATCTCTCTTTTAACAATGTTACGATTAATGCGATATGTATTTATCCTTATCCTATTGAAAATATCTTCCAGTCATAGCGTCCAAACATCAAATAGTTGTGTATTTGCCAATGTCATATATTCACTGTATGAAAACATATTTCAGTCGACAACCAATACTTCTTTAACAATTTTTCCTCTCTATTCATTGAATAATCTATCATTGAATAAACCACTTCAGGCAGGTTTGATTTATAAATTATCAGATACACAATTAGTCCCTGTGCCTCTCGTATTCGAATGTATAAATCCAACTACAAACAACATACACTTTTATGAAGCATTAGAATGTGAATTTACAATTCTTGATCGTGCTATTATATCGTCCTATTCTCGAACGATAAAATCAATTTTATCCGAGCCTACTCGTACAAAAATAATGACATTAAATTTTCAGACACCTCTCGGTCCATTATCGGGTGCCTATTTTAAGCAGTCAGATATAATTATTCGTCATTGTGTATTAAAACCGGTTAATTCGACAACAGATAATTTAATTACAAACAATACATTTGATTTAAAATTAAATTTTGAACAAAAAATTAATTCACCATGCATCACCAATCACTGTACACATTCAAAACTTTATCATTGTAATAAAAATAATTCAAAATGTGAATGTCAAATAAATGTTGAACAATTTCAACATGTATGTGTTGAAACGGAAATAAAGACAAATTGTACATTGACACCCGAAAGATGTTTGAAAATATGCCGAAATAAATATTCGTTTGATCCTGATTGCATCTGTCCAGATGGTATAACAAAAACAATACATTATATAAATAACAATTCGTTACCAATTTATCGATGTGAACTTCTGATGTTGTCAGATTGTGATGAAAATTATTATCATTGTCCATTCGACTACATTTGTCAAAACGGACAGTGTATTAATAATAATGTAGTCATCGTTGGTGAGCAACGACAATTTATTCCACAGTTAGCTTTATCGTTACTATTAATAGCATTATTAATCGGTGCAATTCTAACTATTGTTTGTCTAATTATTTGTCTATTAAAAATGCGTTTAATGAAATCAGTCAAATTTGTTCGATCAACAATGACATATTTACCATCATCATCGTCTTCCACACGGAGAACAACAATAAACTCTTGTTCAACATTATCGACAAATTCATCATCGTCACCCTGTTCAACAATTTCTTCAAGTTCAAAATCATTACAATTAGAAAAGTGTACAAAAATTCAATTAATAAAAGAATAAAAATAAAAAAGACAAAATTTTTCTTCTAAAACTTATTTGTTTTTGTTTTTTATATTATTTTATTAGCATTAATGAAATGTTCATACTTATTTATTTGTTATAATTATAGTTTCAACAAGTTCATTCGAATTTTATCAAAGCTATCTGTTTATTAAGGTGGACAAAAATTAGTATGACCTATTCATAATTAGAGATGAACTGATAGATCAAATTAAATTGTTTCAAATCGGCTCTTCTTACACTAAAAACAATGAATTTAGTTTTGCTATTTACTGCAAACCTAAGCTCATGTGTTCGACTCCAGAGAGCAATTTGTTTGATTTGAATAGAGGATTTATACATGCTTGTATTATGCAAAATTAAAGAAAACAGTTCAAATTAAAATTCTCCATATACACCTATCGAAAATTGCAAAGAGATGTCCATTTTGCACGTTTAAAAAGTACGAATATTTATGACGTTAACATATTTATTTTACTTTAAAAATCTACATAATACATCTAAAAAAACCAGATCAATATACAATTTTTGCAACAAGTACAACTGACAAAAAAACAATAATAAAAGTTCACAAATATAATAAACCTTGTTGAAAACCTTCATTAATTAAGTTATCTTCCGTTTTTAAGTAATTTGATTCTTTCCATATTTTTTTTAATTGATTTATAATCATATTGAATTTACATCGTCTTGTTAAACCATTTCTTTGAAGTACAACTGATGTAATAGGAAAAATAGGCATTTGCCATTGTTTCATCTCATCAATAAGATAAATGTATCCCTGATATTTTAGTAATTCAATTATTCTTTCTTTAATTGATGAATCGTCGATATCTGATAAATCAACACATAAATCCTTATAAGGTTTTAAACAATCATCACTATCAAATATTGGATGAATTTTATTACGATACATAATTAAAAATTGACCGGAACGTTTATATTGATTAGAGAAACGCATTCTTTTACCAAATATATCCAGCTATGGAGGAAGAAAGAAATTAATGATGAATAGTAGGAGAAATGATATATTAAACTGAATTTTACCTCGGTAAGATTATCGAAAAGTGTGGCTAATACTGTCAATGCATTTGGATGATGATTACGCATTCTTAACCATCTGTTTTCAAGTTCAAATAATTGTGATGAAACTGATGGTAAACCTATAGAAAAAAAATTAGTAGACGATTGATGCATGATGGATGTGGACTAATTCTCTGTATACCCAAGTAAGATCCAATATTTTGTTGTAACATTACGTTGATGATCGGACCAGCGAAACGATCTTCGGCAATCTGACGCAATTCAATCCATAATTTTTCACCAGGAACATCTATTATAAGTAAACTACTACATAATTTAGATTTAACCACGATTTTACACACCTTTTAGTCCAGAACTATATTTCCGAATAGCTTCCAATGTTTCAGCATCATGAACATGAGGATTTTCAGCGAGACGACCAAAAAATCTAAATAATAAACATATCGATATCTTGAACTTTCGTTTTAATAGAAATTTTATACCTAAAATATCTTAGAGCTCGAATGGGATCTTCTTGAATTCTTAAATTTGGTTCACCGATAAATTTTACTCGTTTATCGTTCAAATCGTGAACACCATTACAATAATCATATATAATTCCATTGAAATTCATCGATAAACTATTTATTGTCAGATCACGATGACTACAATCAACTTTCCAATCATTTGTAAATTCTACAGTAATAGAACGACCATCTCGTCTAATATCACCTCTCAATGTTGTTATTTGAAAGGTTTCCTACAAAATATAAATACGAGTAAATATCGTGTCTTTTCCGTCAGAATCTGTTAGTAACTTACACAATCGTCATGTCCAACTTGAACAGTTAATATTCCATATTTTTTACCATTCGTATTGATAATAATTACATTTGTATCAGAGTCAAACATTTTTAT